GGCACGTGTCTTCCTATGTAACAAACCTGTGCATTCTGCACATGTATCTCAGAACTTAAAAATTTAAAAAAAGAAAAAAAATTAAAATCAATCAATCATATAGTGTTTTAGAAGGTAATTAAAAAAAAAAAAATGCTGGTTTGAGATCTGTAGTTAAAAAATAATGAGCTCAGGCCAGGTGCCGTGGCTCATACCTGTCACCCAGTACTTTGGGAGGCTGAGGGTGGAAGATCTCTTGAGGCCAGGAATTTGAGACCAGCCTGGGCAACATAGCAAGACCTTGTCTCTACAAAAAATGTAAAATCAGCTGGATGTAGTGGTACACACCTGTAGTTCTAGCTACTCAGGAGGCTGAGGTGGGAGGATCACTTGAGCCCAGGAGTTTGAGGTTACAGTAAGGTATGATCATGCCGCTACACTCTTGCCTGCATGACATTAAAAAAACAAAAAACTTAAAGGTGCTCTTACCGAAATAATTTCAGATTCTTCTGTAACATCAGACATTGCCATGTCACGACGATAGCCCCAGGAAAACTTGTCAATGCTGGTGCACATCTCCCACTTGTGATCTGGCAAGCTCTGTGGCTTGAATTTATCTTCACAGTTATAGTATCCTCCATGGTGACAGGAACAGTTCTGACCCCATCGGTCATTTACTACCACCTCATCCTAAGAAGGGAAAGAATACTTGGCCACTTGACTTCTTTATGTAATGCACTTTGGTAAGGCTCTATTTGGAAGCAAGAAAGTTAGTCTAGAGCAGCAGTTCTCAACTGGAGGCAATTTTGCTCTGGAGGGGACATTTGGCAAAGTCTAGAGACATTTTTGATTGTCACATCTAGGGTGGTACACCATCTAGTGGGTAGAGACCAGGGATGTTACTAAACATCCTACAATACACAGGCCAGCCTCTACAACAAAGAAATATTCAGCCCTGAATGTCAACAGTACTGAGTCAGAGAAACCCTACTGCAGAGATACATGTTAGGGCTGGAAGAGTCTGCTTTAAAGATGATCTGGTAAACCACTTATTCCCTAAGAGGAGAAATGGACTGCCTGAGGCCACGCCCCCTAGGCAGTTTAAAGCTGAAACTACAAATCAGGTATCTGAACCCATGGCAGGCTGTTTTCCAACTATATAATCTCAACCTTACCCAGGTAAAGAAGTCTTAAGCTAATCTCACTTAAAAAAAAAAAAAAAAAACCTAGGCCTGGTGGCTCACGCCTGTAATCCCAGAACTTTGGGAGGCTGAGGTGGGTGGATCACAAGGTCAGGAGTTCAAGACCAGCCTGGCCAAGAGAGTGAAACCCCATCTCTACTAAAAATACAAAAATAAGCTGAGTATGGTGGCTGTAATCTATTCTCGAGGCTGAGGCAGGAGAACTGCTTAAACCCGGGAGATTGCAGTGAGCCAAGATCACACCATTGCACCCCAGCGTGGGTGACAGAGCGACACATTGCCTCAAAAATAAATAAAGAAATAAATGAACGAAAAACAAAAAACAGAGGTCTTGCCCTGAACAATCCAGCAGAGAGTAGCAGAGGAGGAGACAGATATGTGGACAATTACAACATGACACCATATCAGAGTTTATTACCTGATTACAAGATTATCAAGGGCTTTGAGGTTCATAGCAGGCTCCAGCATCTAGTAGTCAAGGGTCTTAGGCAGTTAACTTTACCTTTTAAGTCTAGTTACCCTATCTATAAAAATAAACAGCTGGGCACGGTGGCTCACACCTATAATCTCAGCACTTTGAGAGGCTGAGGCGGGCGGATCACCTGAGGTCAGGAGTTCAAGACCAGCCTGACCAACATGGACAAAGCCCTGTCTCTACTAAAAACACAAAAAACTTAGCCAGTATGGTGATGCATGCCTGTAATCCCAGCTACTTGAGAGGCTGAGGCAGGAGAACTGCTGGAACCCCCGGGGAGCTGGAGTGCGGTGGAGATTGCGCCACTGCACTCCAGCCTGATGCCTGACAACAGAGCACGACTATCTCAAAAAAAAAAAAAAAAAAAAAAAAAGAGAGAGGCCAAAAAGACTCAGGCTGTCAAGCTGGTCATGCTTTTTAAATGGCACTGGGGTTGACATTTTCTTCCCTTTTCCAATCCTGTATCTTTGGCTAGTCGTTTTTCCTTCTGTAATGTTCCTTCATTGCAAACACTTGACTGTAACCTCACACAGTAAGCGACCTGGCTCCATGGGTATACACCCTAAACAGGTATGTAGACGCCATTTCAGAGAAAAATGGAGTATTAACAATCTGAGTTCTTGGTTCAACACTCACCTACTTATCTTATTTATTCAGCAACTACCATGAGGCTCACACTGTGGTAGATGCTGGGTTTCTAAGGTAAATAAAACAGAGTTCTTGCCCTCAACGATCCAGCAGAGACTCGCAGAGACAGTTATGTGGACAATTATGATATGATATCACATCAGAGTTCATTACCCAGGGATGAACTGCATACCTGGGAGGTCCTAAACATTCATCAAGTTCCAGAAAACCACTCTTAATCTGTCTCTATGCATCATATAGAATCTCTTTTTTTTCTTTCTTTCCATTTTCTGAGTTTAGTAATAGGGACCCAATAAGACCCTTAGAGGTTTATGAACTACCAAGGTACATCAGTACAAACTGGTTTTACACTTAAGATTTTTCTTTTAAATCCACAACAAATCTAGAACATGTGCAATTGTGAAATTTTCTATAGTGAAGATTAGGGTTTCTGCTACTTTGCAAGTACACTCAAATACAAACTGTAAATGGGCAGCCATTATACACTGCCTAATAGTGTTGATGATAGGGAGGGGTATTGGGTGGGCAACGTTCCCCCAAGAATTTAGATATAAGGGAAGTGAGTTTGCCTCTTGAGAGGTAAACTATAAAATCAACATAGAATAGGTGGGATTATAGACATTTGCATTTTATTCCTACCATTTAATTTTGGGTGTTTTGTATATCTTGTACATTTTCTTTTTAATTTTTTTGAAGACAGGGTCTCGCTCTGTCACCCAGGCTGGAGTGCAATGGCATGATCTAGGTTCACTGCAGCTTTGACCCCCTGGGCTCAAGCGATCCTCCCACGTCAGCCTCCTGAGTAGCTGGGACTACAGGTCCATGCCTCCACACTCAGCTAATTTTGTTCACGTTTTGTAGATATGAGGTCTCACTATGATGCCCAGGCTGGTCTTGAACTCCTGGGCTCAAGTCATCTGCTTGTCTTGGCCTCCCAAAGTGCTGGGATTATAGGCATGAGCTACTGCGCTTGGCCTGTATGTCTTCTATATGTTTTCTTTATCTTTTATTATATGTTTTAATATCTTTTGGGTGTTTTTCTCATTTATAACATTTGTTTGCTTAATAGAGTTTATTTTCTCTGCAGTAGTCTGGGAATTGTAATTACTATTTTTATTCTACTATGTAAATTTACCACTGTTTAAATCTATATTGTGAAAGTTAAGAACTAAAGGAGATTTCCGGGCATGGTGGCTCATGCCTATAATCCCAGCACTTTGGGAGGCCAAGGTGGGCAGATCACCTGAGGTCAGGTGATCAAAACCAGACTGACCAACATGGTGAAACCCTGTCTCTACTAAAAATACAAAAATTAGCTGGGCATGGTGGTGGGTACCTGTAATCTCAGCTATTGGGAGACGGAGGCAGAATCATTTGAACCTGGGAGGCAGAGGTTGCAGTGAGCCGAGATCACACCAATGCACTCTAGCCTGGTGCTGGAGAACTAAAGGAGAAGAAAGCTTATAATCTAAGGGAGCCAGGGAAGATTAAAGGAGAAACCTTTAACATCCATTAAGTGCCCCAGTCCCTACTGTCCCCATGTTGATATTACTTCTTATTATTGCTGATGCTGTCTACTCCAGAGTTTGACTCCTTGCACTTCCTTTCTTCATAAGAGATCAATAAGAAGTCATATAATCACATACCTTGACAGGGCTATCATTGTAGAGCCAGGAAAGGAAATTTGTGGAGTTCCAGTAAGTATCAGGAGCTTCCCACTCCCCATCAGACCAGATCAGATCAGGCTTATAGCTGGAAGACATGTGATCAGGACAGAGCTTATTATCTGAATGTGTTCACAGTGAAGTCTTAGGGACCAATTTTTTTTTTTTTTTTTAAGAGATGGGGTCTTGCTATGTTACCCAGGCTTGAGTGCAGTGGTTATCAATAAACAGGCGCAATCACAGTGCACTAGAGACTCCAATTCCTGGGCTCAAGCGATCCTCCAGCCTCAGCCTCTTGAGTAGTTGAGACTACAAGTGCACACCACTGCACCTGACTGGTGGACTGATTTTTGCAACAAATATTTCAAAATTAATTTTCCTCCATTTTGAAAGTATGTGCCATAAAAATTATCACAGTGTAGAGAATGTGGAAAGCTGAAGAGATGACAACAAATCAGTTTGCTAATAAAACCACTGTTTGGGCGGGACACAGTGGCTCACGCCTGTAATCCACTTTGGAGGATTACACCAGCCTAACCAACAAGGTGAAACCCCGTCTTTTAAAAAATAATAATAATAGGCCGGGCGCGGTGGCTCACGCCTGTAATCCCAGCACTTTGGGAGGCCGAGGTGGGTGGATCATGAGGTCAAGAGATCGAGACCATCTTGGTCAACATGGTGAGATCCCCGTCTCTACTAAAAATACAAAAAATGAGCTGGGCATGGTGGCGCGTGCCTGTAATCCCAGCTACTCGGGAGGCTGAGGCAGGAGAATTGCCTGAACCCAGGAGGCGGAGGTTGCAGTAAGCCGAGATCGCACCATTGCACTCCAGCCTGGGTCACAAAAGTGAAACTCTGTCTCAAAAAATAAATAAATAAATAAATAATAATAATAATAAAATAAAATAAATAAAACCACTGTTTAAAACAAACACATCCTAAAGTACGGAGATCAAAAAAAAGAAAAGAAAATACAGCATTTTGGTATATTTCCTCCTGATCTTTTCCTTTCTTCCTTTTTTTTTGAGACAGTGTCTTGCTTTGTCTCCCAGACTGGAGTACAGTGCTGTGATCTCAGCTCACTGCGACCTTCACCTGCTGGGTTCAAGAGATTCCCATGCTTCAGCCACCCAAGTAGCTGGGATTACAGGTGTGCACCACCATGCTTGGGTAAGTTTTGTATTTTCAGTAGAGACTGTGTTTTGCCATCTTGGCCAGGCTGGTCTTGAACTCCTGGCCTCAAGTGATCCAACTGCCTTGGCTTCTCACACTGCTGGGATTTCAGGTATGAGCCACTGTGCCTGGCCTAATCTTTTCCTTTATGCCTTTTTAGAAAACGAAGGTGTAATCAGCATACAAGCAATTTGGCTTCCTTTCAGCAACTAATTCAATTAAGAACAGTGTTTCAAGGAAGCAAAGAAAACAAAATGGTGCTTCAGGTCTATAAGACTAAGATTTGCTTTGAAGATGTTTCAAGAGTTTGAACTATTCCCAAAATGCATTTTTGTGGATAATGACCAAAGTCTGTACTGTAGAGGATTTATAAAATCCATTGGAACCCCATTTGTACCTTTACTGTATTATTACTATGAACTTTAAGGCATGTGGTTTGTGTGCATGCATATAAATACATATGTATATACCTATATGGTAAGCATTATTATTCTCATTTCAGCAGCAAGAATTAGATGCTCTGCAGGGCAATTTGTTTTAGGTGACAAGGCTTGTAAGTAATAGGAACTGGAACTCAAATACAAATCTGCCTGATGCCAAACTGTCCACTGTACACCATAATTAGGCAAGTAAACTCTAGGAAGAGTTTACTTCACTAAGTGGCAAGATATCACACAGATGGACTGTGATTTACTGTGTATAAGAAATTGTACTAGGCAATTAAAACTCATTACCTCTTTAGTTCTCATGACTCTATGATATATTATTATCCCCACTTCAGAGATAGAAAATCAAGATCTTGAAAGATTAAGTAGTTGGTTCAAGGCAACACAGCCAAGTAGGAAAAAAGAATGGGGATTTCAGATTCAGTAATGTCTAAATCTGTGTATGCCTCTGATGGGCTCTTACAACTGTTACTATTTTCCCCTCCCTCTCCCCCTCCCCCTCCCCCTTCTTCCTTCTTTTTTCCTCCTCCTCCTCCTCCTCCACTCTTACAACTGTTACTATTTTCCCCTCCCCCTCCCCCTTCTTCTTTCTTTTTTCCTCCTCCTCCTCTTCTTCTTCTTCTCCCGGGTTCAAGTGATTCTCCTGCCTCAGCCTCCCGAGCAGCTGGGATTACAGGCACATGCCACCATGCCCAGCTAATTTTTGTATTTTTAGCAGAGACAGGGTTTCACGATGTTGGCCAGGCTGGTCTTGAACTCCTGACCTCATAATCTACCCACCTTGGCCTCCCAAAGTGCTGGGATTACAGGCGTAAGCCACCACATCCAGTCAACCAACTGTTACTATTTTCTTAAGAGAAGTCATCTGGATACAAGGTAATTTTTTTCTTTTCTTTCTTTTTTTTTGAGACGGAGTTTCACTCTTGTTACCCAGGCTGGAGTGCAATGGCACGATCTCGGCTCAAAGCAACCTCCGCCTCCTGGATTCAAGCAATTCTCCTGCCTCAGCCTCCCGAGTAGCTGGGATTACAGGCGTGTGCCACCATGCCCAGATAATTTTTGTATTTTTAGTAGAGATGGGGTTTCACCATGTTGACCAGGATGGTCTCGAGCTCTTGACCTTGTGATCCACCCGCCTCAGCCCCCAAAGTGCTGGGATTATAGGCATGAACCACTGCGCCCGGCCTTCTTGCCTTCTTTTTTTTTTTGGAGACAGTTTTGCTCTGTCACCCAGGCTGGAGTGCAGTAGCACTATCTTGGCTCACTGCAACCACCCCCTGGGTTCAAGCGATTCTCCTGCCTCAGCCTCCCAAGTAGCTGGGACTATAGGCATGCACCACCACACCTGGCTAATTTTTGCATTTTTAGTAGAGACGAGGTTTCACCATGGTGGCCATGCTGGTCTCGAACTCCTGACTTCAAGTGATTCACCTGCCTTAGCCTCCCAAAATGCTGGGATTATAGGCATGAGCCACTGTGCCTGGCTAAAGGTGATTTTCCTTTGATCTAAAGTGAGAGTTCAGACAGCTGCCTATGAATTTTTAAGGGTCTACCGTCCTCTATGAGCCCCCAGGCTCAAGAAAGGCAAACCAGGAATAAAACATGGTAAAGACTAGTGACAAATCCCTAAGTGAAAGATCACTTAACGAATAATGGTAATAATAACAATACCCTTACTTTGTACCAGGCAGCATGACAGATTCATTTCACATACTATTCTGAGCCCTACAAAGAAGGTATTATTATTATTATTATTATTATTATTTGAGATGGAGTCTTGCTCCTGTCACACAGGCTGGAGTGCAGTGGCATGATCTCGGCTCACTGCAACCTCCACCTCCCGGGTTCAAGCAATTCTCCTTCCTCAGCTTCCCAAGCAGTTGCGATTACAGGCATGCACCACCATGCCCAGCTAATTTTTGTATTTTTAGTAGAGACAGGGTTTCACCATGTTGGCCAGGCTGGTATCAAACTCCTGACCTCAGGTGATCCACCCACCTCCGCTAGGATTACAGGGGTGAGCCACTGAACCCGGCCAACGAAGGCGTTATCATCCTCACTTTACAGATTGAGAATCAAGCTCAGAAGAGTGTTCTGTTTAAGGCTTGTAAGTAACAGAAGCCAGAATTCAAACACAAATCTGCCTTATGCCAAACACCCCCCTCTCAAGGGTCCTGACATAAGGAAATGGCATGCAAGAAGGGAACTAAAATTTTGACTTTCTACCATCCTGGGTTTTGTGTGATTGTTTCAAAGTATAAGGCAATATGACCACATGACAGAAGTTCTGAAATGCGGGATGAAAGAACATATTTTGTCTTAATAAAACCACCACTTTTTATATTTTGATGTGTTTTAGTTTTTTTTTTCATATCTGTCCCTCTTCCACTAATAGCACCCTATCTAGAAAGCTCTGATTTCATTGATAGAAGTCATAAGGCCAAAATATTTCTGTGTCTTACCTGTTGACAAGGTCATACAGCTCTGGCATTGTTTTTGCACTAACAAAATGCTGTGTTTTGAAGCCATTTTTCTTATCAAGTAGATAGAGTGGGTGGAACCACTCTAACAGGGAGTGATATAGTCCATAGCGCATGTTCCTTAAATAGAAAAACAGAATAGCAACTGTCATTAGGTATAGAACAAATATTTTAAGGAAAATAAGTTTTAGCATTTTTTCATCTCAATGAAACTCACCGATAAGAGTATGTAGAGAGGGATGGGATCCAAAACCATTTCCTTAAATTATTCACCATTCACTTAAGCGAAATTATGAGGTTTACTATGCTTTTGATTATACACATAACTTCCTTAAATTATTCACCATTCACTTAAGCAAAATTATGAGGTTTACTATGCTTTTGATTATACACATAACTACCTTTTATACATAAATATCTTAACCCCAAAATGTTATTTAAACCATCTTTTACCTTTTAAGTCAATTATCTCAATAGCGTATGGTCCTGCTGGGTATGGTGGCTCACTCCTGTAATCCCACCACTTTGGAAGCCTAAGGTGGGAAAATCCCTTGAGTCCATGAGTTTGAGACCAGCCTCAGCAACATAGTGAGACCTCATCTCCACAAAAAAATTAAAAAATTAGCCAGTGTGGTGATGCGAGACTGTAGTCCCAGCTACTTGGGAGACTAAGTGGGAGGATGGCTTGAGCCCAGGAGGTAAAGATTGCAGTGAGCTGTGATTGTGCCACTGTACTCTAGCCTACGTGACAGAGACTCTGTCTTAAAACAAAATAAAACAAAAAATCATACAGTCCTGCTTTAAAAAAATATCTTCCCTGTCAATCATAAAATTTTATAAAGAAATTGGAGGCCGGGCATGGTGGCTCACGCCTGTAATCCAAGCACTTTGGAGGCCAAGGCAGGAGGATCATCTGAGGTAGGGAGTTCGAGACAAGGCTGACCAACATGACGAAACCCAGTCTTTAAAAAAAAAAAAAGAAAAGAAATTGGAAAATAGAAAATAAAATATCCAAAGTACTCTTACTCAGAAACAATCATTAGTAATATTTTCCACACAGTTGAAATGAATGTAGGTTTATTGTTTTATTTATCTAAGATTTACATAATAGTTCTTAACATACCCAAAATGAAATGTAGTTGATGACCTATTTTCACATAAAGAAAAGCTAATTTTGGGTTAAGAATGGTGAGTGTTACAAAAACCTTACAATGTAAGAAGCAATGGCACAGATAAAAACAACGGAAGTATTTCATCATATGACCCAGGACTTGATAGACATAAAGAAGGTACAAATCATGACTCCTAAAGTCCATATCTAATCAACATCTCAGAGTTTTACAGCAGGACTATAAGCAAAGCACAGTGCTGGGAAACAAAATGAGCAGGTGACAGGAGTCAGCAAACTCTTTTTTTTTTTTTAGATGGAGTCTTGCTCTGTTGCCCACGCTGGAGTGCAGTGGCACAATCTCAGCTCACTACAAACTCTGCCTCCCAGGTTCAAGTGATTCTCCTGCCTCAGCCCCCGGAGTAGCTGGGACTACAGGTGTCCACCACCATACCTGGCTAATTTTTTGTATTTTTAATAGAGATGGGGTTTCACCATGTTAGCCAGATGAACTCAATCTCCTGATCTCACGATCTACCTGCCTCGGCCTCCCAAAGTGCTGGGATTACAGGTGTGAGCCACCATGCTCGGCCAAGTCAGCAAACTCTTAAAGGTCCAGATAGTATTTTAGATTTTGCAGGCCATTTGGTCTCTATTTCAGCTCTCAAATTGTAGCTCAAAAACAGTCATAGACAATGCATAAATGAATAAGTATGACTGTGTTCCAATCAAATTTTATGATTTATACAGACACTACTCCTCAAACAGGACATCAAATAGCATTGTAGTCTATGTTGTGTATCCATCTAAACAGACAGGGCCATTAACTTCTCTAATGGTGTCCCCTTTGGTCACGTGAAAACAGTGAAGCATCAAACACTGCTAATTCAAAGGCCAGAAGCCCTTCAGGCTACTTGCTAAATACAAACCTAAAAAACACACAAGAGTAGAGAAGGGACAGAACTCTGGACAGCCAGATCCAAAAAGATGACAGAGTAACTATCCCTAGACACCCACCTCTTCCGCAGAGCTGTTCCCAATTCACCAACCAAATCCCGATGAGGCCCCACGTCCTTGGAGTTCCAGTTCCAAGACACAGGACTAGGCCAGTTTGTGAAGCCTTCATGATGCTTTGTTGTCAAAACTACATACCTGTGGACAGCAAAACCACATGAGCAAAGGAAGTGGGCAGTGAACTTGCATGAACTTGCCCAGCATGCCTGAGGCTTTTTAAATGGCTGAAAGAACTTGACCACAACAAATGTACTTGTACCAGTGACTATTAGTGATATCCAGGAAGCTGCTGCAGTCACAATTCCCCTTGGGCATTGCGCCAAGAATGGCAGCAGA